TTCAAAGTAAGAAATCGAATACTCTTTCTCTTTCTCCGTTGTATATTCGATGAATGTTGAGAATGAGTATATGCATCAAAATACAGATAATTTAGTCTTACTGAAAAATCATATCAGGGACCAATATTAATTTCAGAGTAACAGTAGAATAGTTACGATTCGATTGAATGATGTATTTATGCATATTGTAGTATTTCTTCGAGAGAGATTTCAAAATTTAGTCATGTTTTATCATTTAAATTTCGTATTGGAATAAAAGCTTTAAACAGAAACAATATCAAATACTCATAATACAATGCCTGCTTTATTATAAAAAAATATTCAGATTATTAATAGTATTTACAATTTTAAGCATATTTTATAGCAAAAGATAGATACTAAAAATTTTACTCGTTGTCATGAAAATGTTCATTTATTTTCATGTAAATGTGAATGTAATGTACGAGAAAAAAAAAGTAACATCAACAAAAAAAATTCAAAAAATCCAAGAAAAAATATATGGTCATAACTAATATGAAATAAATTAGTTTTATTATCTTAAGTTCATCAATAAGGTGGCTCATCATTAATATCACGGTTTGATGGTGGTATTTGTATATCATGTAGTATTGAAAGATATAATGGATCATTGAATAAAGATTGTTGATGTTGAGAATCAAGAATATTTCCAATTGCACCTGTTTTTCGTTCACTTGGTGTCCCATCGGGACCTAAATTTTCAATATTTAATTGCTGAGTTGACATTGTTGTTGGAACAGATGCATTAGTAATTGATTGTGATGATGATGATTGACTATCATTTAAATTCATTGGATGAGAAGAAGGATCTATACGTGGATAATTATAAGGATGATAACATTGTGATCTCATACCAGAACTACTGTCAGTCATAGATGAAAAACGCGTATGTGCTTGTGGATGGCTAGATGATGAACCAAGCAAGGGATCCATATTATTCATTTGAACATAATGTAATGATGGTGCATGATGAAGATATTGTTGCATTGGATCAGATGATGGTACTTGAGATGATAATCCTTTTGATGAATGCAATAGATTGCCAGGATATGAAATTATCATTCTATTTTGGTCCATTGAATAATATGAAGAAAGGGAATTATCAGGACAATAGGAATTAAACTGCGTGGCTATTGTGTTTGGTGGAACTAACATGTTATTATGAAGATTTTTATTCTAAATAAAAAAATTAATTTCCTTTTAAAACAAAAAAAATACTTAATATTGCATATTTTGTTGTTGTTCATATGGTAAACTATTTGAATTATGATTTGATGCTGAAAATGGATGTCGTTTTGTTGTCCATGGTTCACCTTTATATAATGAAAACAAAAATGATGGTGTACCACGAGTTTTTCCATTACCTGGTCCGTATGCTTGATTTAAACATGAAGTAATTATTGATTGTTTATCAATTATATCTGAAGGAAAAAAAATGACCAATTTAAAAAAATAACTACCTTCAATATATTCCATATGCTTTTCATTAGAATCCCCTCCTGCAGCTTCTGCTTTTAGATGATGTAGAGGTAATTGTTCATATGGATCACCTATGTTTGGTCCAGATTGCTCATGAAAATTGTATGGCATTGGATTATTCATCTCAAGCATCATTCCATCAGATTTTATTTTCATCTTTATTGCATTAAATAATGTATATACTGATTTCTCGAATTTTTCTTGATCTTTTAATCTAAAACAAAAAATAGAAATTTTACTTTTTCTAAAAGGACAGCGTTACTTATATTGTTGACGAATTTTTTTGACGTGATCTTTTAAGCCAATTTCAATTTGTTCACGAATTTTATATTGATCATTCTAAAATTATTCATTCGATTTTATACAAAAATATTTTCTTACTGTTATGATTATATGTAATTTTTCTTTTCTTTTTTTTAAATTCTTGTATCAATACATATCTTTATATTTATAATCTATGTCACATGGTAATCCATTTGTTGCACGAACAAAACGAATTATATTATTTATTCTCTTCAAAAATGAAAAAAGTGAAAGAAATACTTTTTGCTTTTCTCTTACTTTATCTACTAATGATAGGATTTCCTTTTTTTTAAATAGATCATGTATAGCACGAAAGATAAGTGCAAATTTTTCTTCGTCTTCTTTTTTTGTTGAAGTCATTATTAACGAAATCTAGAATGAAATTTTATGTAATATTATAACAAGCCGTTAAATCTTTTCATTAAGCTTCTGATTGATGTTTTCACAAAAAAAGAAGACTTTCAAATAAATAAATTCTTTATTAATCAATTGAAAAAATACAAAATAAAATTAAGCGTAATTGCGGAACATAAAATGAGAAAAAAAAGTTGTGCCAATTGAAATTCATGTTTTTTAATTTTAGTTTGCAACCATTTAAAGTAAATTCTAAGCATTTAAATATAAACAAATATTTGTAAAACAAAACGAAAGGGAGAGAGAGACATGCATGGCTTTATAAAAGATAGAGAGAGGGACAGAGGGAAAATGATAGCTTTTATATTTCTTCGTTCTGTTCAGTATGTACCACTGTCGTATGATGTTTTTTAAATTCAAATGTATGATGGTTATGACAACGATTGCAAGTGTCTTGCATCATCATGATCATCATATGAAATATTTTATTTAACGGCAAAGAAATTCGTCTCACTTAATTAATATTAATTTATTTTTATCTAAATAAAGGATAGCATTGGTTTTTAAAATCTCATTGAAATATATAAACAAAGTAGTTTTTATCACAATGTCTACTGAAGTAAATATTGATTTGTTAGAATGTGTTGTTAGACCGGGATTCTGGATGTTATAAGATTATGTCAGTTTGACAGTGAAAATGATTTTTATTTGGTGAAAAATATTCTTTTACAGATATCTTTTTCTTAATTGCTATTTTCGAGAAAGAATTCATGAGTTGAATACTCTTGAAAAAGCAAATCCTGTCTAAAAATAAATATATTTTATCAAATAAAGAAAAACGAAATTGTTTTCAATGACACTTATTTTGAATGAAACAAATAATATGTTGTATTAATAACTTCGGTCGGAATTTTAAACAGCTTACTTTTAAAATCGTTAACTATATCGTTATTCGAATTAAGCTTATGTAGCCAAACTGAAACATCGTCCACATTTCACATTAGTGGATCAAAGTATTCATCTAGAATAATAAAAAGCATAATCGTTAGTAATTTTCATGTACTGAGTGCACGCATCTTAGTTTGGATAACAATATCAGGGTGCTTGAAGAACTACCTTTATTTCTCCTTGCCGCGAATCGAATTCAAAAATGCTTGTGCTTCGGTACATTTGATAGGCATG